ACGTCTGAGCTGTAGTAGAGGACAAGGGCTGAGGGCTCCCAGTCCAGTCCTTGATGAGACACAGGGTAAGCTCTCATGGGGAATCTGGATTTACCCAGCTTTGGTTCCTTTTGTTGTTGTTGTCGTCTCCCCATGTGGAAGCAACTGCATTATGGAGAGCTCTGGGTTTCAGACGTCCCCATCCATGTCAGGGACCCTCTGAGAAGAGCTTCCCCCAAGTGTGTGAATTGGTCCCAGCAGTCCTATTAGCCCCCTCACCCAGGCTTCCCCAGAAATAGCAGATGGCAAGAAAAGTCAGCCTTGCTCTCATTCAGGGACCTTGCAAGTCACCTGCACTTTAGTTCTCTTGTATGAAAGAGGGCAGAATCCTCATGGCTTCCTTTGAACAAGGCAATGAACATGAAACAGCCACGTAAGCTGTGGTGTATGGTGCACAGATCCCTTTCTTCCAAAGTGGGACACATGATAGGTCACAGGCTCAGCTGCTCAGGCCTGAGCTTTGCAAGGTGTAAACAGGTTTTGGACAGGTTAGCAGGGACAGGAATGGGCTGATGTCTCAGCAGGGAGCCCAGCAGATGAGGATCCTGACCCAGTCTTTGGAATGAACAAAGCCAAGGTCCTGATAGGTATTCCCATTCCTGGGGCTGCTGAGTTCTGTGTCACCCTATCTGCTTAAATGCTGGCTTTTCAACTCTCCCACTGCTGTTGCTACAGCTCCCAGCACATATGGCCTAGTGCCAGGTATGTAGAACCACTTTTAGAGATTCCTTGTGTGCTCAGGCACTGGCCATTTGCACGCTAGCATAGTCTGTTACTCACAGAAGTCCATGGCATAAGCTGTCCTGGCTCTTCAGAGTTCTCTCTCATAGGTGCCCAGCACTGTCTCACTTCTCAGAGTGGGCAGGGCATTCCCAGTTTACAAAGGAAAAACACTGAGTTCTAACAAGCAAAGGACCTTTTGCAAGTTCACCAAGGGGGTACACTGTGGGGCTATGTCCCACAATGTGAAATTTTCACAAAGAGTAGTAGTTGTATTTGCAGTGCTCACTGTTGGCCTGAATCCCTGAGTATTTTATGGTTCCAACTCTGAAAACGTTAGCTCTGTTCTTACTGTTCTGAACCTATGGATCCAACAGGGTCGTGTTACCTAGTGTACTTTGCTCCCAGGCTGAGGAGGGAGGACTAGGGCCCGCTGACTTCATCAGAACTGAGCCAGGAGCCAGAGGGCCCTAGGGAGCAGCATATGGAATGATCGGAAGCTTTGGATTTAGGCAGAGCTGGTTAGGACGCCAGCCGGGCCAGCCATTACCGGCTACATGACTCAGGCGAGGCACTTCACCTCTACATCTTTAAGTTTCCACATCTATAAAATGGGGATTATATTTTATTATTTTGTAGGGAAGCTAAGAACTAAAAGAGAAACTTTCTTAATAAATGGCCATCTATTCCCTTCCTTCTCCAAGTGTGAAGTATCCCTAATTAGTGGCAGACATCTCTCACTCATGCTAACTTGAGTCTGTAATTCCACAAGACTGACGAGTTTGACCAATTTACTAATATTCTCACAGCAGTTACCCTGGGGTCAGTGCTGGGGTGCACCTTTGTCTGGCCTCCCACCACTCACTTTTCTGTAAGTCTAAAACACACAGCTTTGCTATCTTCTGCTTGCCCAAACCCATGCTTACTCCTCGTCACTAAACAGGGTAAGTGACGACTAGCACCCTTGCTGCTGGTTAGACTTGCAGTATTCCATAGTATACCACATTCAGATTTGTACAACTGAAACAACCTGCAGGCTCACTTAGCTTCGGCCTCAGATTTTCATTTGAGGAACTGGAGGCTCACAAAAAGGATGTGACTGGGATGGGGGATGCTAGGAGTCAAATACCATCCCATGGCCAGGTGCAGGTAGAACATTCTGGATCCCGGGTTTGAAGACATCCTCACCACCCCTCTACCCTTCCTTCCCCAGGGCTGGGCTGGGGTAGTGCTGTCAGGAACACATACTCCAACCCTCTCCTGCCAGGAGTAAAGTCCCTGTAATACGATATACAGTAACTCTAAGGGCAATGTCCTTTTGTCTATATGCCCTCTCCACCTTCTCTGAACAAGTTATAAAATACCCACTTGATCAGAGATTATAAAGCTGACCTAATTGGCTCTGGGAAGAAACTTCTACACTTCCTGCAATCTTGGTGGTTTTCCAGCATAGCAACTGACTGGCTGAAGTTTAAGTCTGCTAGTAACTTGACTCCTTTTTCAAACTGTCAACACAGTGGTATCAGCCTCATTAAAACTGATGTCAGCACAATGTGACAGAGCTGGAGAAAACTGGAAGGTCACCACATAAGGCAAGATCCCCTCTGTGCTTCTGTCTGGTGGTGGTAGGGTGGTGCAGCCCAAATGGTAACGCTGGGAATCAGCTGGGAGTCCTGGTGGTGGGAAGTGGAAGGGGTGGGGTCCTAGTTACCTTACACAAGGTGGTCTGTACCCTTCCAGACCAGCAGCTGTCAGTCACTCTTCACAGCCTGGATTCCTGCAGCAGGAGTGAGCTAAAATGCACAAGGTAGGCTACGTGGTTTCTACTTCACCAGGACAGCTTGGGCCAGTTCTGGACCCTCTCCTGTGCCTCAGTGTCCCATCTCAACAATAAGCAATGGCTTCAACCTTTTAAAGGAGGCTGAGGCAGGAGAATCACCTAAGCCCAAGAGTTGGAGGTTGCTGTGAGCTGTGACACTACAGCACTCTACCAAGAGTGACAAAGTGAAACTCTTAAAAAAAAAACAACAAACCACAGTTGAGCATCTCCCTGATTACAAGTTGACCTAATTTTCACAAACCAGATGTGTACCACATGTACGTATCAGTACAATAGGCCTAGTTTCTTATGTTGACCAATTTGTAATAGTCCCTTGGTTGGTCAACTTTACTGGATTTGCCACAGAAACTAGAAGCAAATGCTCTCAATATGTTCTTTTTCACATGGGAGACAACTCTAAAAATATGGTCTTGCTCTCTGACTTCATCACCAAAAAGCTTGCTTGTCTGAGAATTTTAAAACACTTTTTAGCTGAGAACAGCTGAACCTCTCAGACTCTCCTAGAGGGCAGGATCATGCTAAAAGCTGATAATTTTAAAAGGAAAAAAACCATAATGAATGGAATCAATCCAAGGGCTAATAATCCCTTAAACATCCTCACTGGCCACATGTAGAAGGCTAAGCTGATGTTTTACACAAGGGAAATGCACAAGAAAAGATTTGACCTTCCAGGTCTGCTAGAAGGGTACAAATTACTTCTCTAGTCACAACTTTCCTCTCTTTTTTTTCTCTTTCTTTAGTCAAATTTATTTGTATATAAATGCATTCAGCAATTTCCTACCTTTGACCTCTGCTTACCATGGTATTCCCTTTTCTCTATTCCTAAGTCCTTTTTGATACTTGCATGTATAACTCAAATACTTTGCTCTCTATGAATGAACTTTCCCTAACCCTCCTACCACCACCTCTCCAGCCTCTGAACTACACCAATACTTACTGGGACCTTTTGTACCTAGGTCCTAGTGCAACATGATTCATGTGCTGATGCCTTTTCTTCCTTACTAGTTACTATGAGCTGGCCTGTTTCTTTAACCCAATTCCCCTTCCCTCTCACCCAGCCAATGAGACTAGCATATCCTAGGTGCTTGGTACCAGAAAGTTCTGAAAAGGAGACAAAACAAGAAAAATAAAAGTCACCATGTTTGATATTTGACAACATAAGCAAGACCTTAAGGACACCAATGCTACAGAAGAAACTATTTACAATATATTGAAGGTTTGCCAAATGGCAAATAGGGCCTGTGGTTGAGGAAAACAAAATAATATCACTTAAACCAGAAGTCAGATTCAATTTTCTTGTATTTCCTTTGTAAAAAGTAAACTCCATTTAAAACCCTATGGAAGACTCAGATTTTAAAAGTATAGGATTAGAAGGTTCCACTGAGAGTACGTAACTTTTTCAGGCTGCAAATTCAAATTAGATTCCAATTTCATATTGCTTTTATCAGCATAAAAACTTCACCCATTCTAAGAGATAAAGCTGAAGTTTACTAACGTAATCCTCAAATCTCCCACGTAAAAAGGAAAAATACTGTTGATAACACAGTCATACACCTACTTTCATTAAATGGCTCAAACTGCAGAATATCCTTTTCCTTTCCCAAATGCTTTTAAGATTTGTAGGAACAGAGAAAAATTCCATCTTCTGCCATAGCTGAACTGACCTCAGGCAGTGTCTACCCACTGCTTAGTGAGGCTTTTCACGTGTCGTTCTTCCTTAGCAACGCCTGCCTTGATAACAAACCATACTCTGGTTCACCCATCAGTCAAACCCTCCATGCTTCAGCCTTGGTACAAAGCCCATTTTTCCCTCTTCAGACCTTCCTGTCAGAGAGGGTCATAGAACATCAGAGATGCAAGAAACTTCAGAAGCCATCTGATTACACCCCCTCAATTTAACAGACTGGGAGGCCACCCAGAGGTCAATACAAGGTCACAAGAAAATCAGTGGCAGAGCCAGAAGTAAATTCAGATCTCTTAGGACTCTAGTAAACGCTTTTTCCTTTATAGTATCCTCTTTTCCTTAAATTGCTTGAACCTAATATTATGTTACTGGTTTTCAAGGGCTCCCAGAATATTCAATTTCAAACATTAGGCTTTAAAAGTCTACCTCAAAGACTTACTCCCAGTCATCAAGAATGAGAATTAATTTACAGAGAGGGTCTCATTCTGTGGCCCAGGCTGGAGCACAGTAGCATTATTATTATAGCTCACTGCAACCTCAAACTCCTGGGTTTTCAAGGGACAGATTTAAACACTCAAAAATCCTACACACTTGTGTAATTCACCTTAATAACCACTAATATAAAAATGCCAAAGATACCAGTTCTTTACTGTATTTTAATATGAGCTTACAATTAAGTCTAATTTAAAAATGTAAGCATACAATTAGGCTTTACCAAAGAGTAACGTGTTTATTTCACTTAAATTCTTAAAAATACTTTTTTGGCGGTTGTCACATAAAATATCCTAATGTAAAAACAAAACAAAACAAAAAAACCATTAAAAAGAAAAGCATGAAAAAACAGACGCAAAATGTTAAGATTTTATTTACAAAGCTTTTTTGTTGTACAGAAAGTAAAAATGCTGTTACAATCTCGGCGTAACTGGTAGCCACAGACAGTTGACTCACCAATCACAGCTATCCACGCTACAGCAAGAGTCTTACACAAAAACCTAACAAGGCTTACAATTTTGTTGGGGTGAAGTCCCCAAGCTTGGTGGTGGATTACCAAGAGGGACTAAATAGAGGAAGGTGGAATGTCACAGGAACTATTCTTTGGCTCTTTGGGTGGGTGGGTGTCCTGGGGTTTGTATCACAGCTATCTTTTTTTTTTTTTTTTTTTAAACAGCTACCAAATCCATGAGCAGTCCAACCAATACTGAACAGTTCTGATTTTGCAGGTCATTTGGGGTCTTAATCATCTTCTCCTTCATCATCTGTTTCTCTCTTCCTCTTTTCACCTTTACAGTTTTCTTCCTCCTCTGTATAACAAAAATTGACTTTGAGACAATTGGAAAGGCATTTGGCTTTGGCTAAGGCTAATGGCAACAACAACAAACTTCTTGATGGTTGGGAAATTAGAAAAAAAGAATGTAACCCTGACCAGATTAAAAGATTATTGATTAAGTACAAGAGGTAACTATAGAACCATCAAGGGCAAAATGCACAGCAGTCCCTCAACTCATACAGCACAGTTAACTCAGTTTTCTCATTTTTAAGTTCTTTTCTTCTGAATATTTCTTATTTTTCTTAAAGCTGTTGGACCTTCCAATTAGACATACTTATTTACAAGTGACCTTAGACAAGCTTAATCTTTTTCGAACCTGCTTCTTCCTTTATAAAATGGGGACAATAGTACTAACTTGAAAGAGTTGCTCTGAGAATTAGATAACATCCAAAGCAATTAGCAAGGAACATGGCTAAGACTCAAATTGTAGCAAATTAATAGTAATAAAACAGGGTATCTTTGAATATTTATATATTTGAGACATAAGATATGTACATAGTTGTTTTTTCTAATTCATAAAACTTCAGTTATTTTAGTGAAATTAACTAAATCTATGTCACGTTCTAAAAAGCTCCTTGAAGGCAGTGAAAAAGTCCTAATCAGTGTAGTACCGTGTTTCCCTCCAAAAAAGATACTATCTTATATTTATTTTTTCTCAAGAAGACACACTAGGGCTTATTTTCAGAGGATGTCTTATTTTTATTAAGTATAATACAACAATCTACATTTATTCAAATACAGTTAAGTCACCTTCTTCTGGAACCTGACGGGGGAGCTGACCTTGTTGGTGGGGCTGGCGCTAGTGATGCGTGAACTCTTTTCTCCCAGCTGTTCGCAAGTGCGCCATAGGATGCCTGCAACTATGGTTACCACATGCGCACCTGCACAAGTGCTAATGGCTCAGAAAAAGGAGCTGTGGCAGATAAAGGTATTCCAGTCTTCCTTACTGCTCCACTTGGAAATGCATGGCGTGGCTATGCAGATACACTGCATAGCCATGCCTATCACTAGGTCTTATTATCAGGGTAGGGCTTATATTTAACAAATGCTTAGAAATCCTGCTAGGGGCTCGGCGCCTATAGCTCAACCGGCTAAGGCACCAGCCACGTACACCTAAGGTGGCCAGTTCGAATCCCCAGCCCCGGACCCGCCAAACAACAATGGCAGCTGCAACCAAAAAATAGCCAGGCGTTGTGGCGGGCGCCTGTGGTCCCAGCTACTTGGGAGGCGGAGGCAGGAGACTCGCTTGAGCCCAGGAGTTGGAGGTTGCTGTGAGCTGTAATGCCACGGCACTCTGCCCAGGGGGACAGCTTGAGGCTCTGTCTCAAAAAAAAAAAAAAAAAAGAAATCCTGCTAGGGCTTATTTTTTGGGTAGGTCTTATTTTTGGGGAAACACGGTATCTAGTATAAATTTAGTCCAGTGCCTGGCACAGACTGGATGCTAAGAAAGTATGAACCAAAGGAAAGCAAAGCAAACTGGTTCTCTGAGATCTAAACAACCACAAGAACCTGTACTTTTAATTAGCAACAACTGCACCTTGGATAAACCTCAATGGCTATGATACTGCCATTGCACAAAGATAAGATAGCTGGTACTACCGTTTTTTTCCTTTTTTGAGACAGAGTTTCACTTTGTCACCCTTGGTAGAGTGCTGTAGTATCATAGCTCACAGCAACCTCAAACTCTTGGGCTTAAGCGATTCTCTTGCCTCAGCCTCCCAAGTAGCTAGGACTACAGGCGTCCACTACGACGCCCAGCTGTTTTTTTTTTTTTTGAGATGGAGCCTCAAGCTATCCCCCTGGGTAGAGTGCCATGGCATCACGCTCACAGTAACCTCCAACTCCTGGGTTCAAGCGAGTCTCCTGCCTCAGCCTCCCAAGTAGCTGGGACTACGGGTGCCCACCACAGCGCCCGGCCATTTTTTGGTTGCAGTCATCATTGTTGTTTGGCGGGCCAGGTTGGGGATTTGAACCCGCCACCTTAGGTGTATGTGGCTGGCGCCTTAGCCACTTGAGCCACAGGCGCTGAGCCCCAGCTGTTTCTTAGATACAAGGTCTCACTCTGGCTCAAGCTAGTCTATGCTATGAGCTCAGGCAATCCATCTGCCTCGGCCTCCCAAGTGCTGGGATTACAGGCATTGAGCCGCCACGCCCAGCCAATACCCAGTACTTTCAATGAGTGTTTAGTAACATCTACTACTAAATCTAGTCTTGTGGTAAAGAAAAGAGTAACACTGATAAAACTCGAAAGATGGTATTTATATATCATGAAAAATGATGATTCCATTAAGCCTTTTTTAAATGAAACAACTCCAAACACAGAAATCTTACACTGGGCAGTAAACCAATTAACGAGGTCTAAAAATGCACTAAAACATGAAGATTAAAATCTGAGAGGTCTCCTGCCTTCAGACAGGCATTAATTGCTGTAGCAGCAGAGAGGCTGCACCAACAAAGATGCAGTGACAGGATTCTGTGTGTGTGTGTATGTAGACCACCAGGGCCAGGGGCATTTTATTTTTTTTTTCTCAGTGATATCAAATTCTAAATAATGGACATTTTCTCTAATTTTTAACTAAGGACAATCAAAGTACATATGTTATACCCACCTTCATCCTCATCCTCATCTTCATCTTCTTCATCTTCATCAAATTCTCCATCAAGTCCGAATTCTTCTTCCTAAAGAATGGCAAATAGCATAACATTATTAAAATCTGCCAAACTGAGTACAAAGAAAAATACACTATGCAAATGAACCTATCTATATTAGATGTACTGAGACATGTTGATTTTCTTTAGTGAGCTTAGTTTAAAAAGTTTTCTTAAGAAAAACAAGAAACTTAAACCCTCAGTGATACATACTTTCCTGATGACAACTAAATTTCTCTGCCAGTTTCTCAAACCTTGAGAGTTAAGTCAAGCAACTACTTTCTCCTTCCTCCTACAACATTCATTTCCTTGGGGTTATTTCATTACTGGATGTCCCATAAACTAGATTACTTATTCTTTTTTTTTTTTTTTTGCCTGGGGCTGGGTTTGAACCTACCACCTCCAGCATATGGGGCTGGCACCCTACTCCTTGAGCCACAGGCACTGCCCTAGATTACTTGTTCTTTCAAGGCAGGACCACAGTCCCATTTAATAGAAGTCTTTAACATAGCAGGTGTATAGTATATTTACTGAATTAAAATGAATATATAAGAAAAAAATTCAGACTTGGTAAATATACACTTCCCCTCAATATCGCCAATTCTCAAATTTTCACTTTATCACCTCCCTGAATACTCAACTCATCCCTTCCTCCCCAAGTTAAAGGACCAAAATTTACCTTACAAAGCCAGCCACTATAGTTAGCATTCAGTAGGTGTTCTATTTAGTAATTATTAAAAGGCAGAAGAAAGCCACATTAATTAGACTCACATTATTAGTGAACTTATAAGCATACTGATTTCTTCAGAAGGCCTTTTTTTCCTTTTGTCTTCTTTTGGAAACCCATACTTATGTTTTAGTTACAAATAGAGAGGTTAGAAAACAGCTTTACTGACCTCCCCCAAACTGTCTTCATCTTCATCTTCGGCATCTTCGTCTTCATCTTCATCCTCTTCTTCATCGAACTCTTCCTCTTCACTATCTTCATCCTCTTCATCTTCTCCTTCTGAAAACAATCCAAAGGAATTCATCGAATAACTCTGAGGTTCTACATGGCACAAATACTGAAGCGCAGGGGATCTGTGGGTTTGCCCACAGGACGAAAATTGGGCTGCACCAGCATCACTGAAGACCAAGAACTGCAGTCACCTTCTTCCTACATTCTACCAAGTGTGTAGTTAGTCCCATAAAATCAGGAGGCCAGAAATCTTGGTGGATAGATACACACTGTAGTTCTTACCAATGAAATGATACAATTGCTGGGATTTGCTTCAGAATACGGACTAGGGGAAGAAAGTAGGGTGTACAGAAATAAAACAGGATCTGCTATGACTAGTAATTGCTGAAGCTGAGTGATGAGAACATGGGGGTTTGTTTTACTATTATTCCTACCTTTGTGAGTGCCTGAAATTTTCCATAACAAAAAGTTAAAAAAAAAAAAAAAAGGGTCTGGCAGTTATGGATACTATATATATCTATAATAGTGTATATATAGTATTCATTTTTTAAAAACTTCTATATATATATATAAAAGTACATGTATATATAAAAGTATGCTCTTTCTCTTGGGTAACAGTACCATCAGAGGCAGGTGCTCAAATCAGGAACTTGAGACATACTCATAATAATCCTGTGACTCAGGGGACCAGAGGGCTAAGAGGCACCTGTGTCTCACTCTATCTTTGCCAATTCACGTACAGCAGTCCTTCCTCCTCCCAGCTCCCAGAAATCGGTATGCTCTCTCCTGCCTCCTGGGCTAACTGACTCTACCTTGTAGTCTAAGTCAATACCACTTCCTCAGGCGGTTTACCAGATCTCCTACTAACCCTAGGTGATAGGCTCTCTTGTATTAGCACTTGGTGTTTTTTTCACTATAGCATCCTTTGCTCACTTACAATTATTAATGATTAAATTTTTTCTTTTTAGTAAGCTCTAAAGGAACCATGTCTGGTTGTTTCTTTTCTTTCTTTCTTTTTTTCTTTGTTGACACATGGTCTTGCTATGTTGTTCTTGCTATGTTGATTCCTTAAGTCATCCTCCCACCTCAGCCTGGGACTAAAGGTCCACGCCACTGTATCTAGCTTGTGTTCTGTTTTTTTAAACTATTATTTTCCACAGTGCCTGGCACAAAGGAAACACTCAAATATTTGTCGTCTGATTGATCTTTGCTTTCAGGAACTGCGCTGTAGTCTCTAAGGATTAATTTCCTTTATAGGGTCCTGCACATGTGGCTACTCTACTTTTTTTAAGGCGAACCTAATTGTACAACAAGCACAAATGGTATTTAGGAAAAACTGGAAACATGCAGAAGGGAGTAAGGGACATAAACATTTGAAAGTGGGGGGTGGGGGTGGTGCAGGATTCTAGGAAGATGGCTGACTAGTAGCAACCCTCCACAGAGGCTCCTGACCAGAGGTACAAAAACGGGACAGAATCAGATTCTATGAAGACAAAGGTGGGGAGCCGAGTCAAGAGAGAAGTTTGGCAAGCTGTAACTCCAAGGAAGAGCATTCAAGAAAACAAATTACAGGTACAAAGCCTATGGACTAGAGGATGGGAGACCCCTTCCCCAAGCAGGAGGCCTGCCAGGGGCTCTCTAGGGGCTGTTTCTAGCGAGCAGTGAACAAAACACCTCTCATTTTACTTCACTGGAGAGCACTGCTGAACACCAGGTCTCTTTCTCCAGGAGGTCCCACTTATAAACTGAGACATCACCCTGCTGGGCATTAAACTCAACAGATATTTTCCCCCATAATTCGAAACTCCCAGGCCACCCTTCCCCCCTCGAATGGTGATCTGAAGTTCTGCCCCCTGCAAAGGACAGAGTATGTGGTCTTGTCCTGAGAGATCTGGGCATAGTGTGGACTGCCAACCATCAGAACAGAATTTGTGGCTAGTGGGGAAGAAAGGGACACTCGGTGGGATGAGGAGCAGTCCCCTGGTTATGATTTTGCCTGGCCATTGGTGGTGCTGACCCTTGGTTTAGGCTGTGTCTGGCAGGAGTGGGAGGGTGCAGAACCCCTGGCTCTGACAGCACCCACAGCAGAAGAGTGGCTGCCTGGTGTAGCCTGAGTTTGGCAGGCAGGACTGGACCCCAGCCCCAGTTGGGCCTGTGAGCAGAGGCTTGCAAGTGTGTATTGAGACCTGAGGGCAAGGGAGTGGTCCCAACTGCAACAGAACCCTCAAGCAGAGGCTTGCTGGGTGTTGGCTGAGCCCTGCAGGTGGACCGTGGTCCCCTGACTCCAACACAGTTGGCTAACAGAGACTTTCCAGGTGTAGACTGAGACTGGTGGGCAGGGGTGTGGTCCCCTGACTCCAACTGGACTGGCAAACAGAGGCTTGTTGAGTGTGGACTTGTTGAGCGTGGACCCCAGCTCCAACTGGGCCTCTGAGCAAAGAAGTGAACAACAGTGTGGACTGAGTCTGACGGGCAGGGGAGTGGATCCCTGGCTCTAATTGTGCTGTTGGAGACCCTTGGACCCCTCTCTTTTGAGCAGGGTTTCACTGACTAAGACCATTTAAATGAAACTAATGTCTGGGGCTGTACACCTGGGGACACTCTGAGGCTGACCTTCAAAATTCTGTAGCGGAAAAGAACTGTAGGGTGGGGGCTGGGTGCTAGAGCTGCCTGCACCTCTTCACAGCCGAGATCTAAATCTAATACTATAGCTTCTTAGGATAGGGTAGAGGTTGGCTGAGATGAACACAGAACTAGACAGCAGTGCCCGTGGCTCAGTGAGTAGGGCACTGGCTCCGTATACATAGGGTAGTGGGTTTGAACTTGGCCCTGGCCAAAACTGCAACAAAAAAATAGCCAGGTGTTGTGGTGGGAGACTGTAGTCCCAGCTACTCAGGAGGCTGAGGCAAGAGAATCAGCTAAGCCCAAGAGCTGGAGGTTGTTTTGAGCTGTGATGCCACAGCACTCTACCAAGAGTGGTAAAGTGAAACTCTGTCTCTAGTTAAAAAAAAAAGAAGAAAAGAAACAGAGCTAGTTTGCGCTATCTCACCAAGTAGGTCCTCAGAGTCTCTGGCCAAAACTCTGAAAGGGGCCTTTGTAAGGCTGTAGTAGATAAGCCACAGTTACAAAGCTGAGCACTTTGGTAAGGGATTGATTATCTCTATTACCTGGGAACCCCAATTCAATCTCACCCTACCAGTTCTTCTAACCAAACAGTGGAAAATAAGCATGGTGTGGAACCAACAGAAGAACTATGGCAACATTAATAACCAGAGTAAATCAACCCCCCAAGGAATGACAAAGGAGATACAACTGAAGGTGCCATGCATAGACAAATAGCTAAAATGTCAGAAATCGAATTCAGAATATGGATGGCAAATAAGATGAACAGAATGGAAGAAAAGATAGAAACTGAAATCCAAAGAGGTGTTCTAAAGTTGTTTCAAGAAATTAACAACAACAAAAAAAGAATGAATTCAGACAGTCACCAAAGATATGGATATAATGAGAAAAAGGGATAGCAGAGCTCAAGGAGATGAAAATGTTAGTAAAGGAGCTCCAAAATACAGTAGAATCCTTCAGTAATAGAGTTGACCAGGCAGAGGAAAAGATCTCTGAAACTGAAGACAAAACTTTTGAACATTCCCAAACGCTCAAAGAGGCAGGCAAATGGAGAGCAAAAATTGATCATTCCCTGAGAGATTTGTGGGATCACTTTAAAATATCAAACATTCGTCTTATAAGAATTTCTAAAGAAGAAGATAGTCCTAAAGGTACAGATGCTCTACTCCAAGAGATTATGGAGAATTTCCCAAGATTGCAAGAGATACAGAAATTCAGATAGTAGACAGTTTCAGAACCCCAGCAAGACTCAATCCAAAAAAAGCATCTCCTAGAAACATTGTGATTAACTTTTCCAAAGTTAAGACCAAAGAGAAAATTCTACAAACAGCCAGAAGCAAAAAAAGTATCACCTACAAAGGGAGAAATACCAGAATGACTGCAGATCTCTCAGCTGGAAAGTTTCAAGCCAGAAGAGGATGGTCATTCACTTTCAATCCCCTAAAACAAAACAATTTTCAGCCCAGGATCCTGTATTCAGCTAAACTGAGTTTCATTTGTGATGGAGAAATCAAATACTTTAATGACATAGACATTTTGAAGAAATTTGCCATAACTAAATCAGCTCTCCAGGATATTCTCAGACCCATCTTCCATAATACCCAGCACAATGCTCTACCACCAAAGTAAACTCACTCAGAAATTTTTGAACAAAACCAAACTTCCACAGTGTTGAAAGGATTAAAAATGTCCACTGGACATCCGAAAATCATGACACCCAAAACACAACCAGGCTTATCAATTCTCTCAATTAATGTGGATGGTTTATAAACTGTCCTCTAAAGATGCACAGACTGGCTGTCTGGATACATAAACTGAGACTAGATATCTACTGCATACAAGAAAAGAATTTCATCTTACCTTAAAGGATAAAAATAAGACTGACAGTGAGGGATGGACATCTATAATACAGGCAAATGGAAACCAGAAAAGAGCATGGGTTACAATTTTAGTTGCAGATATGATTGGCTTTAAACCAACAAAGATAAAGATAAGGATGGTCACTACATATTTGTCAAGGAAACACACAACATGAAGAAATTTTGATAATTAACATTTATGCAACCTACCGGAATGCTCCACAATTTATAAAGCAAACCCTAATGGATATGAACAACTTGATATCTTCCTGTACTATAATAGTTAGAGATTTTAGCACCCCTTTGGCAGTTTTGGATAGATCCTCCAAGAAACTAAACAAAGAAATATTAGACTTAAACCTGACCCCAGAACAAATGGACTTTACAGACCTCTACTTAACATTTCATCCTAATGAAACTAAATATACATTATTCTCATCAGTCCACGGGTCATCCTCTAAAATAGGTCACATCCTATGACACAAGTCTAACCCCAGCAAATTTAAAAGAATAGAAATTATTCCTTGTATTTCACAGACCACCATGGAATAAAAGTTGAACGCAATA